CGGGAATGTCCAGACGATAGGCGGACTTTTGACCCCGGCAAACGGTTGTGTGTCTTTCCTACAGCGATAATACACAATCTATCTGATGGTTGTTTCTGCAACGTCTCTTTCTGTGCAAAATGCCATGCTGTTGCAGGAAGGCAATGCTGATCTCCTTGTCTCGTACAGATGCTACTAATTGTAGAAAATGCATGGCTGGAACGAACGGCAAACAAAGATAAAAACTGCTGTAACCAGAAGCGGCAATGATGAAGACTGCTGACGCAAGGTAAACACATGTCATAAGAGGCGCCAACAAACGTGCGCTTCTGCGTTGCACTCTAGAAGGAAAAATCCCCCCCCCCCCCCCCCCCAGCCTTACCATCCTGGAAATTATTTAAATGTCTCCCGTGACGTCATGGGATAAGTTAAAATTGTTGTACCGCAGGGACTGTGGCTAGGCCCTCAGAAAGGTCATCAAGTACCCACTAAACACTGCACCCTATTACCCACACTACACCTGGCAATCCATTGCTGCTCAGATGTAAGTGTTGGGTCAGTACAGACCATTCATCTGTGCGTATCCCCAGGAACGTCCCTAGTGACAAAGGTGATAGTGATTCAACCTGTCCAGTACTTCTGCAATGCACTTACCCATGCTCAAGGGAAGTTCCTGGGTGAAACAGGAGACCTTCAAATAAAATGCCGATAGCCTTATGAGACTAGAACGAAACTTGTCCTTACTCTCTGAAAGCCAAGTCAAAAATGACGTTATCAAAAAAAGTTTGCCAGAATCAGATGCGGGAGTATGTACCCCTTTGCCTAAAAGTGGTGGTGGCAGCCAAGGAGTTCGGCTTCAAAAGACTTAGAAAACAATTTTTTATAATAGAATTAGTGTTATAACGTCTTCCTAATAGATTTAGGAACGACATAAATGTAAATCTCTACATCTAGACACATGGGTATATAAGAAGAACTATTTACTCAAGGAGGAAAGTCCCAGATTTAAAAATAGTCTATTTACATAGAGGTGACAAAATATGGGCATGTCCATGACTAGAGGGGTGTGGGCTGTCATGCGACAAAAGTAAATGAAAAGTACTGTTTACGAAGCGAACAGAAGGAACTGTTCCAGAGATCTCTTCCTTCCCTGACGCAGCAAGGCATTCCAGAAGTAGAAAAAAGAAAAAGAAAGAAAGAAGATCAGACTTCAATCGCCGTGTCTGCTTTTTGCTAATTTTTCACAAGCATACACCAGAATAGGTTTTTTACAGGGGAGCTACGGAAAGAAATTCATACAGAGTTCTTCTGGTCTTCATCTCTCCTTCCTTCCAGATGTTTTATTGTAAAAAAAAAAAGGCTCATTTGCAGTCTGGTCTGGCTGCATTCTCACTAGATGGCCGAATTATTTCATTCTTTGTCTGTCAATATAATCTAGACATGGTCTTATTCTAACTTTCTCTCTAATGCTGGTATTCTAATCCTGTCTCGTCTAGTGTTGTTAGTGACCTTGTCTAGTGTTGTTAGTGACCTTGTCTAGTGTTGTAAGTGACCTTGTCTAGTGTTGTTAGTGACCTTGTCTAGTGTTGTTAGTGACCTTGTCTAGTGTTGTTAGTGACCTTGTCTAGTGTTGTTAGTGACCTTGTCAAGTGTTGTTAGTGACCTTGTCTAGTGTTGTAAGTGACCTTGTCTAGTGTTGTTAGTGACCTTGTCTAGTGTTGTTAGTGACCTTGTCTAGTGTTGTTAGTGACCTTGTCTAGTGTTGTTAGTGACCTTGTCTAGTGTTGTTAGTGACCTTGTCTAGTGTTGTTAGTGACCTTGTCAAGTGTTGTTAGTGACCTTGTCTAGTGTTGTTAGTGACCTTGTCTAGTGTTGTTAGTGACCTTGTCTAGTGTTGTTAGTGACCTTGTCTAGTGTTGTTAGTGACCTTGCGGAGACAGCGCATTTCACATGTAGTTATTTTCTGTTGAATGTTGAATTAGGGATCGACACCACAACACTCGGGACGAATCCATAAGCGCTCCATCCCCATCTTCAGCAGCAAGAGAAGAGTTAAAATTCTGATGGTACCAGTAACTGTCTGTATATCCGTCTCGCCTTTTCCCTCAGTGTCATGCGTCGGCTAGATCCCCCTACTAACTCCTCGCAGCGCCATTTTCCTAAAACCGTGATGATCTATCTGTGCCTCGGCACTGTTCACTCGCTCCCAAAGAGCCCTCACAATGTCCAGCTTTTCATACACCAGTTCACCCCCAAGTGGTGCAGAACCGACCAGTCTATCTGCCTGCTCATTTCCTAACACGCCGGTATGACCTGGAGAAAATATTCCAAGGATGCTAACTACCCGGGACCTTTGAAGTGATGCTTGCCTGTCTCCACCTTTCTCAAAATGCTCTGTTAGTCGGTTAAAAAACGGCATGTGTGTACAGCTAATTCTCAAGCTATCGGAAGGCAGCAGTGACTGCCTCCACCTCCATTCTCAAACTAGACGTTGTGCTATTATATGCAGGCTTTGTTGCACCAAGCGACGTCCATTTGCCTTCGCTATGACTTCCCCTCCCACCCCTCTCCCTTCCGCAACTTCGTCTGCCCCTCCACACAGAGCCATCTGTATAAACAAACACATCACATCGGCGGGAATTGTCATAAATCATTTGTTGAACTTCCGATTCTGCAGCACCAGCTGGCCAGTCCCTGCCCTCACGTCCCAAAGTGATTAGAACCTTACACAGGTCTGAAACCTGATTGAACACTTTGACCCACTCCTCCTCTTGCCTAAATTTATCAGGCCTGCACACGTCTAAATGTCAGCTTGCGCCATCTGAGACTTTCTTTCAGAAACCTTCTTCTCTTCAGTCTGTGACCCTTAGCTCTATCCAAGGCTTCATGCAGGGTGTGCCTCTTGTCCGCAGCTACTCTGAGATATGATTTTGCTTGCAGAACTTTGAGCCGATCTGCAATAGTAGGCAGTGCAAGTATATATACTACCGGGGGTTCTCTTGTACATCCCAGCATAACCCGCATGGCGTCATTCTGTATGCGTATAAGTTTCATCAGCTGACTGTTTAATATGGTAAGCATTCCAAGTCCATAATCTATCACTGACAGGATCACATGCTGGAGCATTGTGAACAACATTCTTTGTTTCATGTCCATAGCTGTCATAATCTTGAGAGCATTGAGTTCTTTTTGGCATTTCACCACAACTGCCTCCACATGATCCTTGAAGGACAGGCTTCTATCAGAAGTGATACCCAGGTACCTAAGTTTGCTTTCTCTTTTGATGTAACTGTTGATAACTGTGGGGGTTGGAACATAAGCTTTTACGATTATATTGCCTAGAGAGCATCACAAAACAGCCGCCTTTTCTGAGTTGATGACAGCACCCATTTATGTACACCAGTCATTCACTTTGTCTACAGTTGCCTGTAGCTCTTGGGCTATCCGTCGGTTATCTCTCCCCTGCCTATATGCAAGAACATCATCGTCATACGCATAGTTTGTTGTGTATAATTTCCGCTGCCGTTTTCTAAAATCACTGTTGTATCATGATACATTAGTTTCTAAATATTTTTGTGGATATTATTTGGTATATATGCAGAGGTAGTCTCTTCCTCTCCCCCCCCCCCCCACCCCCCATTCTTCTTCTTCTGATAATCCATGACATATGGTATTGGTATTGATGTCTCACCACAGATCGCTGTCTCCCGCACTAGCAATCAAAGCTGACATTATTGGTTTTCAAGGACGTGATTACTCATTTGTATGTGAGTCGCCGAGACCAAATGGTCAAACCGTTTGTCTCGCGCTCTGATGGTCGTGGGTTCGTTTCACGGTTGTATCGTTCGGTTCACGAGAGCATATTTTACGCAGAAGATTGAGGATAGTCTTGGAGCAAAAAGGGTTCGGGCTTTATGCCACGTTCTCAGCAGGTGGCTAGCCGTTCTGCAGAGAGAGATAAAGCCCTATGGAATAAAAGCTAATGAAATTAGGAGGAAGGAAGGACTTTCTACCCCACTAGGACATCACACAAGCGATAAACACCCGATGACACAAAGTGCCACCATGTGGGTGAGAATCACCGTGGAGAGGTCCCAGAAATCGCGTTCAGACAATTGGCCATTTCAGGCCTGCCTATATTGCGGCCCCTGGCAAAAGCCAGGGTAGGGCTTCAAATAAAAATTGTTATCCTAAAAAAGACTTTATGATATAAAGTTGCTAATGAAATTAGGTCGATCCTTTCGACTTTAATCTCTCTTGACTCTCTTCCCTGCCAATGATCCTGTTATCATAGCGTATCCCAGTTCACTCCTTCTTACGACGTGCTCTAGAAATGTGAGTACTTTCAGTGCTTTGAATAAGCAGTTCGGTTTAGGAGAATTATATTTTAAAGCATCTTTAAAACCACTTTTATCATACAGACTACGAGCACTATAAATAATTAGGATACATGAGTTGTGAATAAAGGCTTTTAATTTGTATAACAATGTTTAATTAAATAATCGCTGGAACGAGCTGTTGGCAGGTAGAATGGAGTTGCGGGTTTGTCACATCTGCACCAATCCGCTTCACAGAAGGTAACGGTGCCGAGAAAGCGTCTTTATTCTCTTGCAACAGTGATTGATGAGTCCGGTCTATAAAATGAGCTCAGTTTTATAACATGAGTCAAAATCGGTAGAAAGAATATTAAAAGATCTCATGGTTGTAAAAAGAGCTCAGGTAAATCAAAAGATTTCAGGTCAGGGAAAAGAGCCAAGGTTACACTCATGAGGGCCAGTGATTGCGCCGTGGTGAGTGTTATGTTTATCACGTGACAGGTCAGAATTGATTGTCTGCACTGTTGAGTCCGCTGTTGATGCTCTTGCAACCAGAAACAGTTGTGCACCCTTCACACATCACTTTTACACTGTAATTAGAAGGACAGAGGAGATTCCTGAATTCCTGCGATGTATTCACAGTAGTTGAAGTATTCCAGGTTCGTCTGATACACTGTGTATGATACACTGTGTATCTTGGCTCAGTTATTCGCAGATGGAAACAAATGAGTACTTGGGTGGGTGGGCTTGGGCATTCGTGACGAAAGCGTTTCTGATGCAGCCTTCAAAATGTCCGGGCAAGTTCTGCAAGTATACAAGATAAGTCAATCAACAGCATGTCGAGTAATAGATTAGCTAGTTTTTGTTGTGGCCATGTTATAGAAAGGAATGGACTACAGAACTTGGGGACTACTGTCCATAATGATAAAAAGAGAGCAGCACGAAGACAGAGAAATGAATATTCAGATGTCTTAGCCATATCGATTAGGCAAGAAAAAAAAAAGCATTGACCTGATCCGTGATTCTGGTGATAGTGTAAGATGGCGAAGCATGGTCAACTTTGGTTATCAGCAAGGCAAATGATGATGGTAAAATAAAAGCCTGTGGCAAGAGAATACAAACGTAGCACCAATAATGTATGCATTGTTAAGAACTAGGGCTCCAAATATGCGTCATTCTCTTAAGAAAAGAAGGCAGTGCCTGGCCGACCCAAAGAGCTTGAGTTCCAGTCACAGAAGCGGATATTTGTGTAATTAACCTCAACTCGCAGCATAACATTTGTACAAGGAAATGAACTGGCAAAATAAAATCGAAAAGCGACGGGATGACTACATCATCCATAGTTTATTAAAAATCAAAATACACGAGGAGCCATTATCAGTCAGCAGGTCTTCTTCTTCTTCTTCTTCTTTTCTTCTTCTTCTTCTTTTCTTCTTCTTCTTCTTCTTCTTCTTCTTCTTCTTCTTCTTCTTCTTCTTCTTCTTCTTCATTATTATTATTATTATTTTTTCTTCTTCTTCTTCTTTTTCTTCTTCTTCTTCTTCTTCTTCTTCTTCTTCTTCTTCTTCTTCTTCTTCTTCTTCTTCTTATTATTATTATTATTATTATTATTATTATTATTATTATTATTATTGTTCTTCTTCTTCTTTTTCTTCTTCTTCTTCTTCTTCTTCTTCTTCTTCTTCTTCTTCTTCTTCTTCTACTTCTTCTTCTTCTTCTTCTTCTTCTTCTTCTTCTTCTTCTTCTTCTTCTTCTTCTTCTTCTTCTTCTTCTTCTTCTTCTTCTTCTTCTTCTTCTGCATTCGACATCAGTCATGCTAAACATTGAGTCCCGTCAATTAGGATTGTGCGTTTAAGGTCGCCACCGGTTCCCCATAGCTTCTCTTACAATGTAGCTCCTTTGGGCCAGATCCACAGTCTTTGCTGGGAGAGGTAAGGGCAGTACTGCAGTATGTGCTCAGGGGTCTGTCTTTCTGCTCCACAATCACAGGCAGCAGATTATTTGATGCCTATCCTGTACAGATGTGCTCGAAGACCACAGTGTCCTGTCCGAAGTCTAAAAATTGATGTTTGTTCTTTCCTGTTGAGTTTATTTATGCTAGCAGATCCTCTGCAGAACGTCGCTCTCGTCACGGCATACCTAAAAATCTCTCTTTCTCTTGTCATTTCACCAGCACCGTGTGCTTTCATAGCCACAGCATCTTTGATGTCTTGTAACCATCTTTGCGGACGTCTGCCCCTGATTCATTTCCCGAAAACGTTACTCTCCATCACCCTTCTATGCAGGCTAACATGACTTTCAAGCCCTACGTGCTGTCATAGCCAGGAGATAGATATTCAGTGTTTTGTATCCTATGTGCTTTCATAGCCAGGAGATAGATATTCAGTGTCTTGTATCCTACGTGCTTTCATAGCCAGAAGATAAAGATATTCAGTGTCTTGTATCCTACGTGCTTTCATAGTTAGAAGATAGATATTCAGTGTCTTGTATCCTACGGGCTTTCATAGCTAGAAGATAGATATTCAGTGTCTTGTATCCACTTACGCAGAGGTCATCTATGCGCCGCTGGTGTTAAAAAGGTCATGTAATTTTTTTTTTTGAGCTATACTGAAACGGAAGATCAGCAATGATTACTTCAGAAGAGAAGTGACAACTAGACGCATTCAGTTTCAACTAATCCATCACTATCGTCTTCCTCGCCAGGCAGCGTAGGTGCTCACTTCGCTCCACAGATCTATGTCCCTGGTATATTGAATACATTCTATTGATTAGACACTGCGGGTAACACTGAGTTGGTATTTGTGTGTCCTAATCATTGTGATTCCTTACTGTTCATTGAAACATCATTCCCTTCATGCGATTCCACCTTAAAGCAGTTTAAGGTCGATGCGTTTCAATGGGTCAAAGAGCTATGACAAGAGTATTGTCCTTACTTTTAGCTTCGAGTAAGTCCTGTGGTCTGGGCAAGTCAAAGAATAGGGAGGGATCTAACGAAGAGAAAAACAGACCAGCTGCCTTGTAGGCAGACTGAGAACAGCCAGCGGCTAAAGAAAGTGAAGGCAAATTAGGAACTGACTCCTGCGCCGATGTGGTGTAGCGGCTAGACGCTCGTGTGCGGATTGGAAGGTCGTGGTTTTCGGGTCATGACCGAGCCGAACTTTTATTTTTTAGAAATCACCTTGGCTCCCAGGTCAATCCAATCTTGAGTGGGTACCAGGTAAAGTCCTGGGAAGTAAAGGCCGCTGATCACATCACCAGTTAAGTGCTGATTTTTTATAAAATATACGCCTAGCCCTATATACCCAAAACGCCTAAAGGAGTGGACAGCGATTCTTTACTTTTAAGAACTGACATTGTAGCACTGTGGATATTCAGATAAGCTCTTTGTCATCGAAATCAGTATCAGCACAGAGCTCCAATACCTTGAAAGTTAGTTTAGAATTTTGAACAGGACGTCACATGAGCAGCCCCACCCTTCGCTGGATGTTTTTGTTTGACAAGGCTTTTTGACGTTCAGTAAATTCTCATTACAGTTGAACGGTAGGCTCTCGGTAAGTGAAGTAGAGTAAAGTAAAGATCCCTTTTTACGCCCTAGGCGCATCGGGCATATGGGAAGAACACCCCATTTTTGTTGCACACCAATTAGCACTAAGTGGATAATGTGGTCAGCATTACTCGGGCCGTCCTTACTTCCGCAGGACATCCATCCTAGTAACCATTTTAGGCTGGGTCGGCCTGCAACGCCCCATACCGTGATTCGGCAACGTCCAAGCCACAGACACCGATAGTGCCAATGACAGTTTGACTGTACGTCTTTCTCGCCTTTCCTCTGAATGCTTATTAGTTCCCCAAATAGAGTTGGTCACTTTTAATTCACAAGTTTGTTGGGCTGGTCAACTTTTCTGAAGGTTACGGGCGTGTCTTGTCACAACCCTGTGAGTACAGTCATGTGGCGAAATGGACCACACGAAAGGGTGTACCGTGTTCAGGGTTCACCCCAGGGTTGACACAAAGGTCAGTGGCATGACTGGCCAAATCTGTGCTGTTTGCACGGCGAAATTAGCGCTCAGTAGAGACCACTTCAAGACGACAAGTAAGAGTGAACTCTGTTATAAACAAGTTCACCACATGATTGCCCCATGAGGGACTGAGCAGGTGAACGAGTCAAAAGACACGAGGTAAGAGAACACAGGGGATTCGGTGTGCGGTGTTCGGACCGAGAAGACGGATTAGCGAGACAGTGATAGAACATTAGTGTTAGGATATTTCTGTAGGGACTGCATAGATTATTTTCAGTGTTCTGTTAGAATATGATAGTCTTTTGTGCTGCGTATTTTACTGGTATAATGTTTTGTGTTGTGCCACAATAAGAAAGTAGTGTCCATTTATTTCTGACCAGTTAAATCGGTTAGGTACATGTTCTGTGAGATCATGTCTAGCCTTGTGACGCTGACCCTGTACTAGACAGAGGTTGTGACATCTTGGTAGGTCAGTGTGTCAATAGGAAAGGACGTATCCCGCCCAGCTGTGGTTTGTGCACCAGAGATTGCCCGTGGAACGGACTGGAGAGCGAGGCGACTGTAAAGCTCGTTCGGCCAGAGGGTCCAGGCAATAGGTGGCCACGCAGAGGGAAGTCGACTGTCTGTTATATTACCTGTATATGCAATAAAGATTGTCGTGTGTGTCCTGTGTGCGTTCGGGTTCAGTTTGTGTTAAAGGTTAGTTTGTCTGTCATAGGCCCAGTTACGAGCCACGGACCATCAAGGTCACCCCGAGGTCTGTGACAGATAAATGGATTCAGTCGTCCTTGGGAGTTGAACCTAGAATTAGTAGATAAATAGAGTAGTAGCTAAAAAGGAATAGTTGTTCGTGTTAATTGTGAACCCAATGTGCTTGTCTAAATAGGAGACATAGATTAGTTTGTATGTTCAGCTGACTGATTTATTTGTCTTCAAGTTTTGTCGTGTTCACTGTTATAGGGCTAGCGTGATTGAGTTAATCCCTTAATTTTGATGTTGCTATCGAATAAGTTTGCGATGGCGATGCTGAGTTAATTCTCTTAATTATTGCATCGTTGTCCAGGCCTACTCTTAATTAGTGATAGCGACGACATCGGGGTTAGCTTGTGTCACCCTTTGCCGCTGTAAAGTGATAGTTTGTTATCATTTTTCGTATTTGTTCCTACTGATTGTAATTAATTATGACTGAATGTGATGGGGCATAGTTTGCGTCTTGACAATTTAGCGACGATTAGGAAGATAGTTTGACAGACAGTGAAAAAGTCGATCCACCGAGGCCTGTCGATCTCGGACATCATCATCCTCATCATCTCTTCCGTGGGAGGCCAAAAATCAAGAACCACAGAGAAGATAAGTTTTTGGTGTAATGTTGTGTTTTCCAGCCCTCGAGGGTTCTACGCGATTGTATTTGAGCCCCTGGCACCGTTCATTGTCCTTCTCATTTCTCGTCTGTCCTATTCATCATTTACGGTTTTTTTCGTTGGTGGTTGGCAGGGCTAGTCTTGTGTTGTCCCTAGTTGTCTAGTGTTGCTAGGTTAACATAAGATTACGTGTAAGCTATATTGCAATTCTAGTCTCGACTGCAACTCGTTGTGCAGCCGGGTCTGTTGTCAAGATATATGCTTGTGGTCACCCAGAGGTCTGTGACAGCCCCGCTCTGTTGTTTAATTTCTGCGATGTCTTTCATTTACGTTTTTATTCAGAGAAATAGAATGCCTGTGACATAAGTTGCAGCACTATCTAGGGTGGTTATGTGTTAGACCCAGTTTTTCCATGTTTTTCAAGTGTTAAAGCGCTGGCGTGCTGAAATATACAACATCAATTTCAACGGCATTGCTGAACACCCCCGCAACCGTGAGCGAAGGTTACGGGGCTCAGGAACTACCTATCAGAAGTGATCTAGTGTGTAAATGGGCGGGGTGTGGGGAGACTAACATCGAACTAACCCTCGTTTTATATCAGAACAGTAGTGTAGCAAGATCACGAGGTACCCTGTTAGGAACACGTTCTGTCGCACTCTCCGCCATGTATATTTTCTTTTTAAACAGTTTCTGCCAAATTGTCACCCCGCCCTCCATGTGATGACACTCGTAGGCGGCCCACACCTTCCATCTCGTTTCTACACAAGTGTATGTTTAAAAGAAAATGATACAACAAACGTTGTCCGGCCCAGGCACGCCGTCTTGAACGGCCAATCAAGGTTTTTTATAGACCGGACAACGTTACTTGTACCAATAAAATCTGACAAACCGCAAGACTAAAAGGTGGAATACAAGTGGAGAATACACTCTTCCCCACCACGACGCTGATATCCATACCAACCTCAAGGCCATGAATGTTCCCAATGTCTCGTTCCCTATGTCCGCCCATGATGAGCCTAGTCAGATTCGCACAGCTGAATGAATACCTCCCGACCCTTGAATCTAAGCGACCATCAAGTTCTAGACGGCCCTGGCTGCTGTATGATCCATACTCAATCTGTTAGAACGACAAAAACACATTTTGCTAATAAATAAAACCAACGAACCAACTAATGTTTGACACACAGACAGACAGCCAGGTTTTATATATAAGTAAAAGTAAAGGACTCATTTCCACGCCTTAACGCGTATAGGGCATATAGGTCTACACCAATATTTGTATAGACCAATAGGCACAATATGGATGATGTGTTCAGCATCATGCCGGCCGCCTTTACCTCTCGGGACGCACCCGGTACCCATTCAAGGCTGGGTCGACATGGGAGCCAAGGTCATTTGTTATTAAATTCTGGCTCCTGCAGGCAGCGAACCTACGACCTTCCGATCCGCGGCGAGTGTCTAGCAGCTCCGCCATGGAGACTCCTACGTTATATATATATATATATATATATATATATATATATATATATATATATATATATATATGTGTGTGTGTGTGTGTGTGTGTGTGTGTGTGTGTGTGTGTGTGTGTGTGTGTGTGTGTGTTTTATGCGTGCGAGCGTGAAAAAGTGGTGTATACCGAAAATGTTTACACACTTCTGCAAAATATACCTGTAAGAATAATGTAATACAAAATGCATGCGAACATTCGGCAATAAAAGCAAGTTACTTTTGGCATCTAGAGTTACACACGATGCTCTGAGTGATTACCATGACCACCCAGACACCATAAATTGCGCAGTATGAGTCGAGTCTTCACTCTGTCAGCCCAGTCGACAGCAGGTATCCACGTCTCGCTCGCTACGCTTGATCTAACTGTCAAATTGTCAATAGTCTTATCTTGACATTGATTCGCTTGCTTTCCACGGCTGTAATCTGTCTTGAATAGTTATCGCGTCGGCTGTTAGAAAAAAAAAAACATTATTTGTAAAGTCCAATAACCTTAGCCTTGGAGACTGTCGCGAGCATCCTAGGAGTAATCTTCAGAACTCTAACCAGTCTTGTAACCTTCGCAGAGACCAAGCTTTTTGCTAGTCACCTGATCCAGAAAGCAGGGCTAAACCACCCAATATCAGTCTACAGCCAGCTAGTTACAGTACCTTATCATAATGTCAAAGCGGGGACAAAGCTGGCCAGCAAAGGCAGTCCAGTAGTCTCACCATCCGATTGCCTCAGCCACCAGGGAAACGAAAGCAGCCACTGGTAGAGCAAAGAAGTCAGCCGCCCAGACCACCGCCGAGACTCTAAGTGGCGTGCCAGCTTCTCTCGAAACAATTATGCCGACTTCACCAGAACCCGCACAAGACCAGCCTTGCTAGAGCCATCAATCTCACCTGAGAGACAGAAGTTAGGCAGCCTTGACTTCCCAGCCACGCTTTTCATCCGGCAGATCAGCTCGGATCAAACAGGGCTCACCGCTCTGACCACACTGTCGCTGGTGAATATGTTTGAAAACTTACTCGGTAAGCATGCAGTGACACGGATCAAGAAAACAAGGGACGTGATTGTCATTCTGAACAAAACCAACAGCACGTCGAACCTGATCATTGAAATCTAGAAGAACGGCAAGGAAACGCTACAGCTTCCCAACGAAATGGTGGTGATTGCCACAATGTTCCAGAACGTCAGGCGCTGGGTTGTGCAGAGAGTCAAACTACACTAGAACGACCAAGAGATCCTAGAACACTTGAAGTCAGATAACAAGAAACTGAGATTCACAAAAGCAGAGAGGATCGGATCAAAGCACAACCCGTCGCCAGTTGCAGTCATCACCACAGAGAGCGAAGATATACCAGATCTAGTCTTTTTGAACCAGGGGAGGCAGAGTCCAGAACAGTACATACAACAGGTACTGCAGTGTTCCCAGTGCCAGAAAACATGGCATTCTAGAGCGACCTGTGCGAGCAAGCATGAAATTTGTCGGTACTGTTCGGAACAACACTCCTTTAGCGACTGCCGCCTGGCGAAGCTAGACCAATACTTCCGGAAAGCCATCGCCAATAGGAAATATGCCAACTGTTCCGCCCAACATGGTGCCAGGTACCTAGGATGCCGTTATCTCCAGCAAGCCAGAGAGATCGAAACCACTGCCGTCAAGGAAAACATCCCCTACCAAGAGACCCGCCGGAGACACGAGGCACCCAAAGGTGTCTCAACAGCAGTAACCTTCAACCTCAAAAACAAAATCGCCCGTCTAAAGAGTGAGATCCAGGCACTTCGAGAAGAAAAGTAAGCCACCAAAGCCCAGAAAGACACGAGATGACATATCTACGTAGCATGATGCAGGAATCCCTCGAATCTCATAAACGATGGGAAACAGAATGCGCAGACATGGCGAATTTCAGAGCTGACATCCTGGCCATCGTATGCGTCATTAAGAACATGGAGGGGCAGACAACCAAAGAAACGGAGACCAAACTGCAAGAAATGAGAAACCAGGCAGAAACCCCTTGCCGAAGTCACCTCGATCGAGACAACGCTAGCAGAAACAGAGGCAAAGTTAAGCCGAAACAGAAAATACCAGAACATGCCAAGTGGAGTAACCAGCTGCAAGCAATAATAAAGGTGACTGCCTCAAGAGAAAAAGACTGCAAAGAAGCAGCCACGGTAGAGGCCCTATGGGAAGCGAGGGATGCCAGACTCGAAGTGCAGGCAGCAGCAGAGATGAAAACACCATGGTATTTCACCAACGAGGAAACACTGCGAACGCTCAAGGGCACTCCATTCTAAAATAAAAGCCGCTAGAAGCGCCTTAGTGAACGAGATCTACCTACCAGATGAAGGCCTAACTGACGCAGACTACTTCGACTCAAACCTGCCAGCAGACCAATTACCATGGTCCCCAGACAAACCGACCCAAACACCGAACCGGACACCAAAACTCGGCGGAAAACACGACAAGCGGCGAAACCACAGAAAATAACGCCAGAAACAATGACGCCAGCACCAACCCATCTGAAACTTAATGCACAAGCGGCACGAAAATGCCAGTCCTTTTTAGGGTAAGTAGTTATCCCCTCCTTGGTTGGTGCAATCAGCCAAACAAACATACCATAACCCGCCATGACAGCGGAGCATTCAAGGCTAGGAACCGCAGTGCAGGGCAAGAACTGCCAGATTCGAGAGAAACCCAACGAGAAGACGCCATAACAAACAACAACCTATAGGAAACTGACAAACACAAAGGATAACCTGATTTGATGACAGACCGACCAGTAACAATAAATATAGCGGATTAGGGAGCAGCAACGTTTTTTGACCCTAGCTGAAAGTGGTCACGGCAAATATTAAACTGAATTGAATCGAGTCTTCCCAAAACTAAGATATGGTGGGTATAATATGCGTTATGTGGTTATAAGCATAATTCAGAATTCTGAGCTTAAAAAAACTCGAGGTCGACTTTTACACCAGGCCAACGTGTACGACGCAGTGTACTGCATTTTTACAACAAACTATCGCTTCAGCGTTGGCAGAAGTACACAGTTGGATTACGGTCCATGCCTTTTCCAGTGTGCCTGTTTTTCTGTAAAACTGATAGCGCGTCGATGCTAGTATTCATGTAATTACAGGCTATCGATTTTCTTTGACAGTATGTAAGATTACACAATGCTCCTGGTATTCGATCTCAATTGTAAAGGGTCAGTAGAACAGCTCCATTGACAGTTTTTTATATTTACAGCAAACACCCCCCCCCACCCCCACCCACCTCTTTTCGTCTCTCTCTCTCTCTCTCTCTCTCTCTCTCTCTATATATATATATATATATATATATATATATGTGTGTGTGTGTGTGTGTGTGTGTGTGCCTCTGTGTGTCTGTGTTTGTGTGTGTGTGTGTGTGTGTGTTTGTAAACATTTGCTTTTGATGTCCATGAGGCGCTCCAGAATAAACAGGAGACGGTTGTGGCAGCACTTGATCTTGCCGATGCCAACAATAATCAGATATGATAAATGAAAATCTGCGCTGATAGAAAAGAGGGCTTGACCGGCTTGTGAACTGAATAGCAGCTGTCCTGCATTCACGTATGAATGTGCTTCGTCTGGATCCATGGACCTCAGAGCCACGCAATATCGCCCCGGCACTAGCCCGGGGTTTTGCAATTTTCCCTATGGTCTTATGTATAGAAGCCAGATTGCAGAGCTTAAAGCACCGGATGATGGACCATGGAAGGATATTGACATTTACAGATGATTCTCTTGTAGAGAGGCAGTAAAGCGATAGGCAACAGACAGTCCATGAGCTTTATGTTATGTTATGTTATCACA